GCAGGGCATGGAACTACTCTGCAGCGAGGTCCCTCGGCCATGGCACCTCAGGACCCGATTCCAAGGGGGCGTTGCTTTGCAGCAGCTTGGCCGTGGCTGGATGCAGTTGGGCAGCGCGGCGGTTGGCCACTGGCATTGGCATGTGCCCGTGCACAAGTCCTCATGTGGTATTAGGCGCATATTTCCTGGAATTTTCTCGCACAAACGCCCTGTGGGTCTTGCGGTGCTGCGTCATTGACATCTCTGGCGTGAGTGAGGTATTATGTTCGTGAATAGATGCAAAAGAAAATGTTCAATTTATTTATGCAAGCCGATTTGAAAACCGTGCTCTGTGCGTGCTGTGGCACTCACAGAAGCGGCCGCAGTGATTAGCCCCGTGGGCAGAACAGAAGCGCATGTCAAGAGAGGCTAAGCGATTAAGCCATAAAGTAAATATGTGAAAATGTGATGCGGCAAACGCAAGAGGACACGCCCTGGAATGGGCGCACTCGCACTCGCAGATGTTGTTGTTGTGGGGCTCCGGACTGAACTCCGGCTAGACGCGGTGAACCGCGTGTGTTGGGTCTCAAAACTGCAAGAAGTGAATGTCCCGAAAATATCTAATCACGCCTGTGACACCTATGGCCCTGTTCAGGCCTCTCCCGTGATTACGCCACCCCCACGCACACCCAAACGGCCCCACGCACGCACGCACGCACGCACACCACGTCCAGGGCGCTTACAAACAGCCTTGAAGATGTGTTTACAAACAGGGGCTTGCACATCATCATTTATCTGGTAGCTTGTTGCAACGCGTGGTGCATCAGATCTGTCTTGATTTGCAACTGTTCTGCAGCAACCGCCGTTGCGGTAGCCATGACCTGTAAATGCAATCTGGCATCACTAACTGCACCTTGCGGCGCAAAACTATGAGCAGAAGTAGCGTGCACGCATCAAACCACATCAGCATGCAGCTTTCAAACCGTCAGTCCAAGTGCAGTTCCCACCCATTGAAGCTTTGCAGCTTCGGGCCGCCGAGATTGGCGATTTCCATCCAAACCAGCGCACATGCTGGTCACCTGCTAAAACATGGCAACCTCAAAATCCACTCTGTCCGCTTTCAAGGCCTTGTAATCCACAGAGCCTAGGTCAAGGGGTTGAAGACCGAAACCCACGGGCCACCCGCGCCGCCTGGCATGCGCTCAGCTGTCAAGTACGCGGCCCCAGTCCCAGCCTGCAGCGCGAGCGCCGGCGGCGCCGGCCACACCCCAGCCGCCTTGATCGCGTCTTGAGAAAGGGCCGCAAACCCGCGCTGCTCGATGCGTAGGGACGCCACGTTGGTGGCTGGAGAGACGGTTATGGATGCCAGGCCTGCGAGGGCGTAGACAATACACTGGGGGTCAGACGGATTTAGTTGCGAGTCTCCCAACCCAGTGACTCAGCACTTTGGCGTGTGGGCCGCGCCGGGGTGCAAGGCAGTGTCATGCATGCTTTGCATTCCCTCCTAACAAGGAACAGGGCCTACGCACTTTACGATAAGCCAGGGCTTTTCAAACCCCCTTGGCCCCCGTCAACCTGTGGTCGCTGAGCCCTAAGGCAGGCACTCAACCTACCCGGATATGCAGGCGCCGCGGATCCCTTGATCTTCCCAGATCCAGAGTACGTGGCCACAATCAGCATCGTCCCGTTGCGCCCCACCGCCAGCGAAGGCGCCGCGAACGCAAGCCCCGCTGCGCCCTGCTGCGCGAGCGCGCCGCTCTTGACGAGGCGCGCGGCAAGCGCAACGCGTGGCTCTACGCCGCGCGGGCAGCTCGCGGCCGCGGCGGCCGCGCACGAGGCCGCGGATGCGACGCACACTGGCGGCGTCAGCCGGCCCGCCTCAAGCTGCGCGTCGATGACGGCGGCCACGATCCTGGCCTCATCTCGGACAGGTGGCTTCAGGCCCGGGCCAGCCGTCGCAAGCCTTGATACAACAGCACTCGTTTCGCCGCCATCCTGCAGCAGCGCCCTCCGCAGGCCCCGCCCATACCCGCCCCAGCCGCCACCCCAGCCGTTGTTGAACCAGGCCCCGTTTCCGCCG